GCCATTGCAATACTCAACTTAATTGCATTTGTAGTGGGGTTTGCGAAATTGATCAGTTCTGATGGAATGCTCGGACAAATGTTGGTGCAGTTGTTTATTTCTGGGTTTGGGGTAGTCAATTCTTGGCCCATTTATGAGGCCATTTTCCGGAGGACCGACGGTGGAGAGATGCCTGCTAAGATTACTACCACTTCTATCCTCCTGGTTTTGGTTCTTTTATTGGTAGCCTATATAATGTTTTAGCTTTGGTGTGGGGGGGGGACTAATTAAGAACATTGTTATTTCAAAAAGCAAATAACAAACATATTGTTTTAAAATAGATTGTTTCTCAAAACAAAAAAATTGCAGAAAACATGTTATTGATCATTGTGTATGTGTTTTTTGTATTCAACAATGAAACCAAAACCTTGTTGCTGAGCTACTAGTTTCAAAAATTCCTTCAAGTGATTTGATAATCATGATTCATAAATCATATAATATTTGTACATAAATTCTAACCCAAAGATATTTTGCCCAATGAACTTCCAAGAGGCATCTCAGAGTTCATAAATGTTTTCCTCAAAGTACTAGGTTGTGTTTGGTTTGTTGTTACTTTTACCTGAAATGTTTTTGGGTTGATCAATACAAATTGACCAAAAATGTGTTGTCACATCACTTATTAAAGTAACTTTAACAAGAAAAACGTGTATGTGAAGGATTGGTCAATCCGCACCCCTCCTCAATGGGCATTTTGCAAGGTATAGTGTATTTCAAATTCACACCATGTACTTGATTCCATGCATTTGAATTACAACATTTGAGATAATCTATGCCATTAATCTACTATTTTTTAATCCACAAACCATTTGGCCTAGGAACCGTCTAGGCAATCGGTTCCATTTTACCCCAAACTTGGCCCTTGGCTAAAAACCGTTGAATTGGTCAATGACCCATAGGCCCGGGCAATCAAACCATCGACCTATTTGACTCATTCAACATTTATTGGTCATTTTTTATTTTAATCATTCTTTAATATTTTTAGTTGGAACTAGGCTTGTCAATGATACTTGAAGATCTTAGGCCCAATCTGACATTCGATCCAATTATCTCGGATTTGGATGATGTATTTATGCAATTGGATTAGATTCAGGTGTTACCATTAGATTAATAATTGGATTGGATTTGGATTTGACCCCATCCGATCTAATTAAAATCTGAATCTGATTATATTATAATATTTATTATTTTAATATATAAATTTTGTATAATTATATTTAAAATTATAAAAATATATTTTATATATTATATTATATATATATTTATATATAAAAGTTGAAAAGTAAATAATTTTTTAATTTTTTTGGTATTTTAGAAAATTTAAATATGAGTCGAATTAAATCAAAGTATGATTCGAATCTATTAGCATTTAAACTCGAATAAAAGTCTAAATCCAATTGGATTTTGAGTTTGATTCAGATGTAGGTTTTGAGTAATTGGATCGGATGTGGATTTTGCTACATCCGATCTAATTACAACCTTAGTTGGAACAAGCTATTCATTTGAACCAGATGGTCAAACCATCGACCCCAATTGGTGGCTAGAACAGTTCCAGTTCTGGGTCAATTTTAAAAGGGAAAATTCCCGATCAATACCCTGTACTTTGGCTCGAGTGATAATTTGGTTCCCGAACTTTAAAATGCGACAATTCAATACCCAAACTTTCAATTTGCGACAATCTGGTACCTGGTGTTAACTCACTGTCAGTCAAAGCCATCACATAAGATTAGGTGCAGTTTAAATAATTTCATAATGCCAAAACTAACCTTTTATGATAATATTCAAATTTTACCCTTTTCATTTCTTTTTACACTATTCCTCTTTCTCTTCAATTTGGGTTGAAGGAAGGACAAAAGAGAAGTGACATTCACTAACCGAGCGTTCTTTTTCCCTCCTATCCAATTGAATTCTAAAATTTAATCTACTTTTGTGTTCAGTCCGTCATGGGGATGGATGGAAAGAACAAAGAGCTTGCTGAATCTCGAAAGACTCTGGGGTCACTTAGGTCATTGTTGACAAAGATGAACGGGAACCAGAAGTAAATGCCGGGGTTTATAGGGAAGCACACTCGATTCATCTACAACAACAACGACGAGATAGAAGAAGAAGAAGAAGAAGAGGTTGCAGAAGTGAAAAGTTTATCACCTGGTATCTTTTTTTTTTTTTTTTTCTTGAGAGGAACAAATTGCCCGAAGAGACACTACCTATTTGTTGATAGGGGTGTCAGTTGGACTAGATTTGGTCCAATCCGATCCAGTCCAATGTGAGTCCATTATAAATGGACTAGGTCCAATCCCATCTAATGAATATTTTGGACCATTCTGGACCCGTCCAATTCAATGTTTGGACCATCCAATTTGTTCAAATTTGTTTTGATTTAGATTGGTTTCAACCCAAACCTGGTCCATTGACACCTATATTCTTATCTTATATCAATGGACTAGATATTGGCTTAATCCAACCCAATCCAGTATAAATTTATTACAGATGGACCAGGTCCAATCCAATCTAATAAATATTTTGGACCAGATTGGTCCAATCTAATATGTCTTGTTGGTTTGTCCAATATGTCCAAATTGATTTTGGACTGGACGGGGTCCAATCCAAAACCAGTCCATTGATACCCTTATCTGTTGAGGGGAATAGTTTGTTTTATTCTTAGTTTACTGGTTGTCTTTCTTTTAGTATAACTTCAAAACGAGTTAAAAATCCCCACCGTCGGTTCCATGGTTTACTACTTCCTACAAGTTCTCTGGCCTGCATCAGACACATGGTTTTGTTCAGAATTGTGTTGGTTTTGCAAAAATATGTCTTGAATTGCTGGATTGATTGTTTTTCAGAATGGTTCATATGCTGCCAGTTGCAACGGGATTGTCACAAGACAGTGAAGTTGAGGATTCTRAGGAAAAGATTTTGTCGTTCTTGAAGATCCTGGCACCAAGCAATGCAAACAATGGAGGTGGGTTTTCGGTTCCCAGGTTTTGTGAAGATTAAATATTTCCCCCACTGAACTAAAAGGTGGAGCCGCCATTACAGACGATTACAATGAGAGATGTTCATGGTGTAATGTGGGATTTCCGGCACATTCGTTAATCATAAGAAGCTTGTTCCTGGAGATTCAATGGTTTTTATGAAGAGACAAGCTGGAGAGCTTTCTATTGGGGTAAGGCGCACTGTGAGGTCAAGCGGCAGTGTAGACTGTGTTGGGTGGAATTATCATGTTGGCTCTGTGGCTTCTCCCATTGTGAAAATGGAAGAGGGGTTCTTTAGGAGTGGTAGGGGCAGAGTTCCAGCTGAATCTGTAGTAGAGGCTACTGAATTAGCGGGAGTAAATAGGCCTTTTGAGGTTGTTTATTATCTGAGGGCAGGTTCATTGGATTTTGTGGTCAAGGCAGAGGCAGAAGACTAGAAGAGGAAACCCTCAATATAGTGGTCATTTTCGTCATTTCGAAAATGATTCAAACTCGATTGTTGAAAAATGAAATGGTCATTATGTCCTTTTATGCATTGACTGACGGTGAGTTAATGCCAAGTACTGAATTGTGTAAATTAGAAGTTTAGTCACATTTTAAAGTTTGGGGACCAAATTGTCACTTGAACCAAAGTATAGGGTTCTGATCAGAAATTTTCCCTTTTTAAAACCTTGTGTTAATCATTAAATAACAATATATTATATTAATTACCTTCGGTGGTTCCATGTAGTGGTGATCGGAGGAGCAGTGGCAACTGACAAGTGGTTCAAATAGAGAAGAATAGAGTGGCAAGTTCACAGAGGCATGATGTAACAATGACAAAAAGAACATAGGTTAATATAGGGTTAAACATCCATGTGATGTATGGGATCATTATTCTAAAAGCAAAACGGTGTGGTGTAAATGATTTCATGAGATAAACCTGTGAATGAAATAATGGGTTGTGGTGTCCAGTGATCTCCTCGCAATGCACAAATATGGTGTGGATTGAAACTGAATATAATTATAAAGACCCCTTGTTTTAGGGCTCAATAACAATTACAATGACAAAAGCATTAAATTACCAAATACCCATTTGAACTTTAATTTTTTCCTCACCCATTTTTTCTTAAATTCTACCTAATCCAAAAACATCTCCATCATTGCATCTCCACTGTTTATCACCGGAAAATGCTTTTATTGTCTCATCAGCAAAGAACTCCAAATTATGCCATTGTTGGAGAGGGAAAAAAGTTCCATTAAGATGTTGAATTACAATGAGACAATAAAAACAAGATAGCCGGTTTGTTGCTGTGAAGCTATAGGGCGTCTTTACCCTGTTTAGATTGCTCAACACAGACGTCATGGCCATGTGAATTCGACTCATGTAGAAGCAAAAGGCCAAATCTTCTAAGTAACTAGATAGAAAACTAATAAAATATTTTTTAATCTCAAAGTTAATAAAAACCATAAATTTGAAAAACAATGATAAAAAAGTTTAATTTTAGTCCTAGGGGTGGGTGGACTGAATCATTAAAACCCCTTGATTTTATAACTATTGCTTGATCGAAAAATCATGCAACTTGTTTTAGATGGAAAACAAGGCGACCGAATAACACCCAAAACACTCTTCAAAGGTAGTTTGAGGGGCTAGAAAACTTTACACAGCTTAATGAAAATCTTATGTTTTTTTCGAAGTTAACTGACACAATCGAAATGAAGGGGTATTTGTCATAAAGTGAAATTCAGAGGGTATTTGTTGCGAATGAAAATTATAGGGTCTTTGTAATTTAACCATAACATTATTTTTCTAACACATCGATAGAATTCCARGGGGGAGGCTAGTGGCCATTCCCTCTACTGGGTAATGCCATCCTGCCAACAACAGGAATGGGAGTTTCATTTTATCCAATCAAATAGTTGGAATTAGAATAGTGGAATCTGATTGCAAATCCCTATGTAGAGGTTGAGATGTTCTCCATATGTGGTTGCGATAAACATAAACAGAATTTGTGTGGGCATAAGATTTGGATTCGAGTTTATAGAATATCCTAAAAAGAAATTATCTAAAACTCACCACGATTTTTTAGCATTTCTCTTAAATTTATCATAACTTTTTAAAATGTCAAAAAAAAAAAAAAAAACTCCATACCAGTAAATTAACGTTAAATAAAACAAAGATAAATTCAAATTCTTCTTTTTGGGTGCTACTCTCTTTTCCGGCGTATTGGGCGCACCGTGCCCTGTTGTGGTGCTCATGACTCAGCAATTGGTCTCGCAAACTCAGATTGTGAAATGGGTAAATTATTGTCTTAATATGTGACTGCTATTCTCTCTGAGTGAACAAAGTTTAAGTGCATAAGGCTTATTGCAAATAAGGCATCAATTTAAGCAATTTATTTGTAGAGAGTAAGATTAATTTTACAAAATCA